TAGTTCATGCATTCATTACATCTAAGCTAGATAACACCAACTCGCTACTATACGGACTGCCCAAATTCCTGATAGATCGCTTACAAAATGTCCAGAATGCCGCAGCTCGTGTCGTCACTCATACAAGAAAGTACGACCATATCAAACCTATCTTAAAGCAGCTGCACTGGCTCCCAGTTAGCCAGCGCATAGATTACAAGATACTACTTCTGACCTACAAAGCGCTCAACGGCCAGGCCCCTAGTTACATCACTGAACTGTTGAAGCCTTATGTAACGACCAGAAATCTGAGGTCCTCCTCTAAAAATTTACTTAAAGTACCATCTGTTAAGCTAGCAAGTTATGGTCATAGGTGTTTCTCTTTTGTAGCACCGACTCTATGGAACTCTCTTCCAAACAACATAAGAGTGAGCGGCTCGCTATCACATTTTAAGACCTGTATAAAGACATACCTTTTTAACAAATTTTATAATTAGACTACTCCTTACTGAGCTATTTAATTATATAAGTAGTAAGTTAGGCCGCTAGATAGTTAGCTAGTAAATTAGTTGATTAGTTGGTGAGCTAGTTAATTGGCTAGGAAATTAGTTAATTTCAGTATAAGTTTCAAGTTTTTACTCTCATTATTACAGACTACCTTATTAGCTAGTTTCTTTTACTCATGTTTTAGAGATTTTTATGGTTTTTTAATCTTATCGGTCCGATTTATAAAATTACTGTACAGCGCTATTGGATAGTGATAGAAATAGCGCTATATAAATACCGTACTATTATTATTATTATTATATTTCCACCTGGGAGAGGGTAGCTATGGCATTAATCTTTGAGTGTTCATCTCGAAATTGCATCATTGAATAAAATTTTGCATTCTGATTGGTTAACGAAGCAAGGTATTTAGTGTGGAATTGGGAGTTGAAAATGAGGCTAAGTGATATTGTTTCATGTCTGCGTAAACATAACTTTATTTAAGTAATACTGTTTCCTTTTTTCTCATTTTTATTCAATCATGCGATTCAAGGAAAGTTCATCACTTGACTCGTGAATTCCACTTTAAATTGCACTTGAAAACCAATATATCACATTCATTGCTTCACAATTCGTGCGATATCGGTTTTCGTGTGCAATTTAATGTGGAATTCACAAGTCAAGTGATAAATTTTCCTATAAAATCTAACAGGTAAGTGCAGTGAAATATCAATAAGAGAATGCCATATCTATAGACAATCATGTGCTGTTTTGTTTATTAAATAAACACCATAGGCCTTCACTGACAAATAAATTTGACAAACAACTTTGGATTGAATATGGTGGACACTGCCATTCCTTCATCAACGTGACAGATTGGTGCAAAAAGCAAGCGATGTGTCAGCAGCTGATTTTTGACATCAAACACATTAAAAAATTTTCGTAATTTTAAACATACTGTATGCAGTTACAGCTTTTATCAGGGCTGGAAATCTGTATAGAGACATAGCAGTTTTGTATGATGCATGATCCTCGCAGTAGAGAGCGCTATTTATGCAATAGCGAAAATCAGACCTGATTTTCGCTATTGCATAAATAGCGCTCTCTACTGTGAGGATCGTGCATCATATGTATCTATAACCGCAGTTCAAAATATATGAATTTCATATATTCATCATATCACATAGCAGTTTATGTGAAAAAAAAAAAAAGGATTGCTGTATAGTTAAGGAGGCACTACTGAGTCACTACAACCTTGCAGCATTATGTTAGATAAACTCATTGTGTTAAAAAAAAGTGCTGTGTGGAGTGTTTTCGTTTTTCGGTGAACATAAATTGTACCATTTCTTTCAGGGAACACCGTCAGAGAATGGCAACTCTATTGAATGGATTCCATGACCCATTTTTGAGGTTTCATCAGCACTCTGGCTTCCCTTCAGCTCTTCCTGCCCCCAGTGTCAGAGGACAACATCACAGGTCAAGTCCAGGCAATCATCAATTAGCTCCAAGAGATATGCATCGCAGTATGTTTGGTGACATGTTTGCAAGCATGAACTCCATGATGGCTAATATGCACAGGAGTTTTGTAAGTGAAGTTATCAAATCAACCACAATTTTTCTCTGTCTATAACCCTCACTCTCTTTTCCTGAAGATTTTTCTTCAGGTATTTCTTCCATCTTGACAAGTTCTCTTTCAAAAATTTCTCCAAGTATACTGATCTTTAAATTCAGAAATTCATCTCTTTCGCACTTTGCATAAAATGGCATAGGAAAAAGGTAGACCAGTTATTAGGCAGTCAGAATTGAGGATTTAAGATTCCCATTCATTGAGAAGTGTCAGAAAAATAAACTGTTACTGAAGTTCCATGAATAAGCCCCCCAGGTGCTTATTTAAAATTTTGGCTAAAGGAGGGCACTCATTGAGCATTGCCGTGCCCACACTATGGAACACTCTTCCAGCCAGCTTGCTCAGTGTGAATTCTATTGCAAGTTTTAAAACTCAAGACTCATTTATTCAAACTAGCTTTTAATTATTTCTTAGATATATCATGTACATGGTTTAAATATAGTATTGTGTATACATTTTTCTTTTCTTATATTTAACAATTATTTGCCGAAGGCGAGGTGAATATTGTCAAATAATCCCAGAGACAAATTTGAGGGGATTATTCAACAATATTCACCGAACCTGAGGTGAATAATTGTTTTAGTATAATTTCAGTGCTGAACAACAGAGATATTTCTAAAATCATAACGTTTTAGTAACATTTATTAGCATTTTATTTTAACATTTTATATAAACCGCCTGGAGTGGTTTATATAGTGTCATATAGGATCTTATTTTCAAGCATAACCCTAAATTTTTGATCAAAAAATGCAACCTCAAGAAACTGTTTTCATTCAGTACAGCTGAGACTCATTTTCTTTTTAATGGAAAATTTTATGATCAAGTTGATGGGGTAGTGATGGATTCTCCGTTAGCACCCATCCTAGCTAATCATTTTCTTGGTTTCCACGAGGAAACATGGCTAAATAATTTTAACCATTCGACTCGCCTTCTACTTTGTAGGCATTATGTTGACAACACCTTCTGTGTCTTCCACAATGAACAGGATGCTATGTCATTTTTTGATTACATTAATTCACGGCACCCCAACATAAAATTCACTTTCGAAAAAGAGAATGATGGTAAACTCTCCTTTCTTGATATATTTATTGACAACTCTTCGAATGATTGTGTTTTTTCAGTTTTCTTAAAAAAAACTACACTGGTCTCCTAACAAATTTCTTTAATTTTATTCCATCATGCTACAAAATTGGCCTTATCTGAACTCTTATTGACTGTATCTACAAAATCAACAACACCCCTTCCAGCCTTCAAAACGATCTTAAGAAACTTTCCAACACTTTAAAACGTAATTCTTTTCCTTCGCATATTATTGAAAGAATTTTCAAGCGGTATCTTGACCGGTCCTCCTCTCAAAATAGCCGGAACACTGATGACAATAATACATGTTACTTTAAACTCCCTTTGGTCGGCTGTTATTCTAAAATAGCAAACCTCAAACTCCGACAACTCATGAAGTGCTTCTGTAAATCGGACCTAAATATCAAACTAGTTTTCACTTCTTTTAAAATTAAAAACATGTTCAGTGTCAAAGATCATACTCCTGATGCTCTAAAATCCATGGTAGTTTATCAATTTTCTTGTGCAGGATGTAATTTCTGTTATGTTGGTGAAACTAGTGGCCACTTTTCTACTAGGATAAAGGAGCACATGGAAAACGATAAAAACTCGCATATTTTAAGCACTTCAACACATCTCCTTCTTGTAAGAACAAATACTCCCTTTCTTGCTTTAGTATTCTGGATTCTGCTAAAAACTCAATTGATTTAAAACTCAAAGAAGCTTTTTATATAAATAAGATCAAACCTGAACTTAACAAACAATTACAGCATTATAACACTTTTCTAGCGTTTTAGTTCACACCTTTGATGTTTGGTGTCACATTGTAATAAGTACCCGCTTTTGTATTACATGATACTGTTAAAATTTTATTCATCTACTTGTCTGTTATATAATTACTCACGTTCTGTTACTCATTGATTGAAGATGGCATAAGCATGCTGAAACATGTCTCTCAAAAAAGTTGTCTATTTCTTACAATATTTATCATACTTGCTACTACTACGACCTTATAAAAAACACTCGTAGACTCGGTCAACAGTACATCGGTTAATCTCTAGTTTGACGTCAAAGGGGAACTGAAGCCTAAAAATGAACCATTTTTAAATTGCAGCTTATAGCTCAAATAGCAATATTCGAGGGTTTTTCAGTCTTTGGGCCCAACTGCGCCTCGGAAAAATAGTTTAAAGTGGTATTTTGGCCTCGTAGTACGGCGGCTCAAAAAAGCGATGTCAGCGGTCATTTTAGCTCGTTCCTACGTCACTGGTGGGGAAGAAAGATAACAAACCCGTACTCTTCCTACAGAAATTTGGTTTGGTTAGGGAGTTATCGAAGTTGCGTGACTTGTAATGGGATTAACTATGAAAATGAAATAGTAACAGTTGTTTTTCTTAAGTTGGTTCCCCACCACTGACGTCATAAACGACCGCTGCTGACCTTTTTTGAGCCAACGGTCTTACTGCCCTAAAAGCGGGAAAAGGCAACGAAAATGAATATCGACACTATCTTTCTCCTCTAAAACTAACTAGAAATGAATGCAAACAATATACCAATTTTAAGCTTCAGTTCCCCTTTTAAGGGTTTCCCTTTACTCTCTTAGTTTGAAAACCTTGAAATTTGATTTACTGATATTTATTGATAGCTTACTGGCTCAACACCAGTCTGATAAGTTAGTAATTCTTCATTAGGTTTTTTCGATAAAATTCAAATTTTTATGAGGAAAAGATTTTTATATCATCAGCTAAAGTGTGAAACCCAGGCTATGAGACATCTCGCATCATAGAATATAGGAAAAGAACTAATATATTCAATATATATACGCGAGATATATTCAAAGAAAGAAAATTTG